GAAAATGTTCAAATGGGATGGGGAACTAGGGAGGAGGAAGGAGGAAAGGAAAGACAGGAAAAGAAAAAAATGAGCAAAAAAGGAAAAATGGAACCAAAACTTTTGTAAATAAGGAGAGGAAGAGGGTTTGAAGGGAGGGTAGGGAAATGAAAAAAAGACTCAAGTTTTATCTTGTACAGGTACAAATTATGATGAACATGATCATTATATATACCTTAAATATGCCAATAAGTGTAAAAAGAAAAACTGAAAATATGAGACGTAGAGGAGCACAATTTTGAAAAAAAATTGGCCCTAATATATTTTTAAAACTATTTATAAATGATAAAACTTTTGAACATATGTAGGATCAATTTTTTCTTTAAGACTCTGGGACATTTGTTCAAAAATGACCAAACTATAATAACCCCAACTTAAAGTAGGAGACAATGTGTCTAGGTTAGTATGTTGTGTGGCTTGAATGCATGCACATAAAAACATGTCTTGGAAACTTAACTCCCAATGCAAAAAGCCACGTGTGGTAGCACACACCTACAGTCCCTCACTTGGGAGGCTGAGGCAGGAGGATTTTTTTTTTTTGGTCTTTTTGAGACAGGGTCTCGCTATGCAGTTCAGGTTGACCTTGAGCTCACTTTGTAGCCCAGGCTGGTCTTGAACTCGCAACAATCCTCTTGCCTCAGCCTCCTGAGTGCTGGGATTATAGGCATGCACCACCATGCCTGGCACTACTTGAATTTTTGATTCAAAAATTCCAAATATAAGGTCACAAAAGCAGATTGGATATACATAATATATGACAACCAGGCTATCTTTGAATAAAAATTCATGCCTTAATATTATATTTAATTTTAAATTATGTTGATATGCTAGGCATGGTGATGGATGCCTGTAATCCCAGCACTCAGGATGCTGAGGCAGGAGGACTGCTGCAAGCTCAAGGCCAGCCTGAACTACATAGTGAGACTCAGTCTCAAAGAACAAAATACAGCCGGGGATATAGCTCAATGAGATAGTGCCTACCTAGCAAGCATGAGGTCATGAGTTTGGTTTTGGTTTTTGTTTTTGTTTTTCTTGGAGGTTGTGAGTTTGATTCCCAGTACCAAACAAACAAGTGTAAATAATCCTACATTTTTGTAAAATAAAACAGTGCTGGGCAAGGTGGCATGTATCCATAATTGTAGCTACTTGGGAGGCTGAGGCAGGAGGATTGCAATCTGAGGTCATTCTGGGAAATTTAGCCAGATCTTTCCTCAAAAAATAAAAAGGAATGGAGATTTAGCTTAGTGGTAAATGTAGTCCTTTGCTCTCCAGTACCAAAAAGAAAATGTTAATAAAGAGTTGTTTGACATATACTATTTATCACTATATTTCAAACTCTCTTCCTTGGCACTGAGTTTGTGGG